CTCTCTCTCTCGCCCGTTCGTCGGCTCGAGTGTGAGACTCGACTCCCGAATCGCGCAGTCCCTCTCTGCGCCTCACCTCTCGCAGTAGTGCCCCGCTCAAACGACCTCCTCGCCTTGTGCGTTGAAGACCGGTCGCTCCCTCTCTCTCTCGCTCGCCAACTCCAGCGCGAGACCGAGCACCAGAACGCGTAGCCGGGCCAAACGTGAACTCCCGTTTGGCGTCCCCGTCCGAGACTCTCCATCCGCTCCCCTTCTCTCGCCCTTGCTCCTCCTTTTATCCCTTACTGCCCCTTACATCATCCCTCTCTGGCTGCTTCTCCTACTCCTTCCAATGCTACCACCGAAATTTTCAGTCTTTCCCGCCGATCGTAGTCAAAATTTTTAGTTTCCCTCTCCCCTTTGCGATCCATTCACCCCCTTCCTCGGCCAATCGTAGTGCTTCCCCTTCTTGCCTCCTCTCGCCAGCGCCCGCTGAGCTACTTGTCCCTGCTCATTTCCTCTTCCAGTCTTCCAATCTCCTTCGATTGCTTCTTTCCTCCTCCCCTGATTCATCCCAGTACGCCGTTTTCCTTCCTTCCTGGTCCAAAGAAGTATACTCGGGCTTGCTCTCGTCGGTTCGGGAGCCAGCCTCCCGAGCCCGTTCATCTTCCGATTCTTGGCACGCAGCGTATTGCCTTTTCGGCCATCCGTACCTACCTTGCTTTCCCGTCTCGGTACGCGCCATTCGCTCCTCTTTCCCCCCCCCACTCTCGGGCTGTTCGACAGTTGTCCCAGTGCGTGCGTGCGTTAACCGCCGCGTCCGGGCGGTTCCCAAGAAAGCCGATGAGCGCGTGCCTTCCCCAATTGACAGTTATCGCATCCCACCGGGGTGCGTTCACCTTCCCCCCTCTTTATGATGCCTATACGCTGCTGACCCCTCTTCCTACCGTTCAGCCAATCCTCTGTCACCCCTCCCTCTCCTGTACGATTCAGCTACTCAGCCAGCCTCGCGCTGCCCGGCCTTTAAATTACACGAGCGGCCCCCGACTTTCGTCAGTCCGTCTGTTCGTACCCACCTTGGTCCCGGATCTTTGGAGCGCGTCAGACTCACCCCTTTCTAGTCCAAGCAGCTATCAAGGACCTCTCTTGGCGGTTTCTCCCTACTAGTCCCTAGCCACCTGGATTTACCCCCCCCCCTGCTTGACACACCTGTCTTGCGTAGTTCCGCTGTCCTGTCCCAAGGTGCGCGTCTCGCTTCCTCACGGCGAGGCACCCCCTCCCGTACTTCAGGCAAGGAGAAAGAGGTTCGGATTTAAGTCGAAATCTCCCCCATATCGCAGGTAATCCGGTCTTCTATGCCACATCGAAACCCAGTCGTTTCGCCGACCACCGCGGAATCTGTAAAGAGCCTCAATTTGACTGCTCCTACCAGATTGACCGCGCCGCCCCTGATTCCCGTTGTACTTCACCTTGAGCACGTCGGTCCGATACCTCCCTCGGCTCGACCAGCGTAGATCCCACTCTGCAGCGATTATCCATCTCGGCCTGATCACGCCTCCCCTGTGTCTTTTGTCACTCAAGCCCTCCTTAGTAATGCGGGCGTCGCTTTCCCTCAGCCCTGGTCCCCCCCCTTTGCGAATCCTGATTTCTTGCCCGCGTTCAGTCCCGCTTACGACCTCCATCGGACTCCCCCTTTTTCCGTCGAAGGATTAGTACGATGAACAAAAAACTTCAAATCCTGACCAATCCCCACAGCCACAGGCAATCAAATAAAACCATGCAAAAAAAAAAAAAAACAAGAAACATTTCCGAATCTCTTTTTTTTTGAAGATCCACACTCGGCTGGTAGACAGCCGCCCGACAACCAGTGGATCACTGATCGCCAAGTGCCCCCTTTGGTTCCAAACGTACGGCTCCCCGTGTCGCGCTTCTTCGAGTAAAGACTGTTGTAGTTCAGCAGCTCCTAACAGCCCATCCCCGGTCCTCTCAGGCACCCTTTCTCCCGAGTTTTCCATGGTCCGCCTCAAAGCCAACCGCCAACCCCCGATTCCCTGCCTTAGGACTGAAAACTTCGATCTTTGAGAGCCCGTCCGAGCCCACTTGCAACCTTGGTCCGAACCGCTGCTCCAGTCCACTGGAGGGTTAGTATGACAAACCGGAAACTCAGACTCCCCCACAACCCTCACCATTACCCACAGACATACATCAAAACCATTCAAAGGCGAAAAAAGAGAGGTATGAACACTTATTGATTTAAAAAAAAAAAACTTCGGCTGGTAGGCAGCCGCCCGACACCGTGTCCCCACATAGAATCCACCAGCATACATTTTTCCTTTTTTTTTTTTCTTTTTTTTTTTGCTTTTGCTTTTTTGAAAACCATGCTGCCACACTACCGTCTTCAGCCGAATAGAACGCCCCGTAATTATCGCCGTGTCTCGGCTGAAAGTTGTGCCAAATACAGCTATAATGACCGGGCGTTCTATCCGGGTGAAGACGGTAGGGGGAGTGATATGAGCATCCCCTCCTAGTGGGCCGCCTGGTTGCTCCAATCTATTGGTGGGGACCAGCACCTGCTGGAAAACGGGTCCAGCGCCCCACTGAACGTCCTCTAGGCTGATTTACACTGTGTCTCCTGCCACCATTGATTGCCCCGTGTTTCCGGGGATACAGTCTTCCTAACTTCCTTCCTTCCTTCCTTGAAAATTCCAAGTATAGAAGGGTTGATGCTTTCTAGGAGTGGAAGCATTGGGTAGTATGTGTGTGTACTTAGTTTTTCTAAGCGCAACTGTTGCACTGATTGTGCCATTAACCAATTCAAAAGCAGTATCGCAGCATCGATCATTTCAGAAAGAGGAGAGTGTTGCGGTGTACCGACTGAACTAGGCCAGTTGGCATGTATCTATCAGTCCCGGTTTTTTTTTTTAGTATCAGTCCCTTCTTGTTTCTCTACTTTATGTTACGATCCTGGTCAATTCCAAAGTGCAAATTCGCAAGGAAAGACAATGCCACCCGATTGCGAAAGAAATGAAAGCACTTGCAAAGAGATAGAGACCAAAGAAGAGGGAAAGAAGAAGAAGAAGAAGAAGAAGAAGAAGAAGAAGAAGAAGAAGAAGAAGATGAAGAAGAAGAAGCGGAAGAAGCAAGACCAATGACAAATCCCCCTTCTCTCTCCACCTTCCTCCTGCTCCTTCACTTCGCCAATCTTATTCTTCTTCCAATAATAGTAATAACAATGAGTGGATGAACCAGAATCAATATCCGAAGTTCCCTTTTACTGCTGACACAACAACAGGTCCACCATAGCCATGGCTTCCCCCTTCTTCCTCCTCKCACATGCCTAGGCTATGGCGGACTACTAAGGGCTCTGCCCTCCTGTCCAAAGGACAACCCAAAGCAGCTATGTTGCTGCCCTCCTGTCCGAAGGACAACACAAAGCAGCTATGCCGCCCCTCGCTAAGCCGCCATGCCTGACTCTGCCTCGGGCTTCCTTGGTGTGGCACTACCCACAACTGGGGCCTTCCAGACGCAGCGCCTATCAAGGTGAGGAAGATGGTGTCCACCATATCCAGGTAGGTACCTCGCCACTCTCCTCCTTCGCCCCCCTTCTTCCTCCTCCTCAGGCTGGGCCGCTCGCCATAGCCAGGCTGAGCGCCCAGCTGCTCTCCTCTTCCAGGCAGCGCTCCAAGTCCAGCGCGGCCGGAAACATCATTGCAGGCTCAGATATCGTCTACAGGCCCTCGACTCAGGCTACTTGGACTGGTACCGGCCTACCTCTAGCCTACCACTACTGGGCCTCTGAAAATGCCAACTTTTGTCTTCTTCTGCTTGGCCTCAAGTACCCGACACGTCTACCACTTCTTGAGTGGTGCCGGCCTACCTGCTACTTGAGTGTTTTTTCCGCTGCTCTAAGCGTCGCGGGCCTACCCCCGCTACTTGAGTGTTTTTCCCCGCTGCAACCCTCAACACCACGGCCACAGGTAAGTACCTCGGGGGCCTTTCAACCAACAAGTACCCTTGAGGGTCACACACACACTCAGGCCGACAAGCACTCGGACAGGCACGCAGACCAGCAGGCACGCACACACACAGACATAGAAATCACAGCAGAATGCGGGAGTCTCAGCAAGGCATACATTCCAGCGGCAAATCCCAGAAATCAGCAGTGCTCTGAGTCTGTGTTTTGGCGGTTCATTATATTTACGTGACTTCTGTTCATCTGGTTGCATCTCGATTCGAACTCAGGTCTGTATTTAAACAGTTCACAGGTGTACCAACTGAGCTACGCCTCAATGCATCTGGTCCCTTCTAATATCTGCAATACGCCTTAATGCATCTGGTCGACAGGCATAGTTTGATGGCCACTGGGCGATTGTTTGCATCTTCTCTTTTTGATGCATACAGCTGGAGCCGACAAAACACGGATGAACTCGACGACGACCGGGAAGAGTGGGTCCGAGCTCATCAACGTAGAAGCTGATGACAACACGATGTGGAGGGTTTCGGTTTGCGAAAGGGGCCCAAGTCCCCCGAAAAGGAGGACAGATACTAATGGTTTGACCAGAGAAAGAGAAGAAGCAGGCAAAGCACACAATAAGGGGGAGGTGGTTAATGAGAGAGAGGAGGGGGTTGTTGACATTGCATGGGGGTCCATGACCGGGAGGAAGTTTCGCCCATTTGACTGCCAGGGTGCAGAGGATCGCCAGACAAAGCCAGAGGTGATATCCGTGGATGATGACGACGACAATGACGATGAGAGTAACAACGGCAAAGTATGCAGCGATAGGGGTAGCTCTCTTGAGTGCGAGGACACACGCAAGTCTCTGAACGGCCGAGGGATGGGAGTGGTTGAGGATAGTTGTGGACCGGACGAGAGTCGCAAGCTCATCTTCCAGATGCTACTCAAGAAACCTCTCTGCGACAGGATTTCGTCCGAGGAGAGCAAGGCGGCACTTGCGGTCCCCAAGTGTTCCGCTTCTGCCACAGCAGCAGGAGGAGGAGCAGTACTGGGGTTGTTCAGGCGTGGGGAGACTGGCCCACAACGCTTCGACATGAACTGCACCGAGAATCTGAGGGATGACGCGGGATGCCCGTTACCCGCGAGGTCCTATGATTCTGACACGGGCTTGGGGTTTGCACGCTGTGCATGAGCCGTAGCCGTAGCCAGCCGGTCGTGCAATGCTGTGTAGGAAAGACTCCGCATGATGCAACTGTGTGTCAATGCATTTCGGAGCTTATGGGCCTCGCTCCACTACTCTGCACATGCACAAAGGACAAAAATTCTGAGAATGTATAATACCATGTTCTAGCAGAACATTCATTCTCATTTTGCACATTTGGTGAGTAGTGGAGCAAGGCCCTATGGCTTTGTTCCGCTGTCTCAGAATAGCATGGAGCGACGCCGTTTCATTTCAGCCGTTGATGTGAAGATGAATCTACCAACGATCGCAGCCGTTCGTTTCGTTTGTTGGTAGAGCAGTGGAACTGTCCCCGTAGTCGACGAGGACTACCGACTTATCGCTCTTGCACTGACATAATGGAGCACCTTGTGAGCCCTTATCTTTACACTTGCCAGCGGCGTGACGGCTTTTCTGTTCAGCACCGAGGAAGAGTAGCGCATGTAGACCCAACCTGATGCTGCCAGGCTAGTGGTTTGGAAGGTTGCTATTTGCTCACTTTGCATCTGGGCAGGAAGGAGTCCAGGTTCGTTATCAAAGCTTGATTCGAGGAGCCCAGGTTCATGATCGATCAGCTGGTATGGAATCTCTCTCTCTCTCTCTCTCTCTCTCTCTCTCTCTCTCTCTCTCTCTCTCTCTCTCTCTCTCTC